AAAAAAAAAAAACATCCCATCTCATTTCTAATTTCCTAATTAACACCACTCAGCTAACTTAAAATTCACATGTAGCTCTACTAAACCTCAATTCATTCTCCACATGTTCAAAGCAAAATACTATATGCGTACGTGTAAGAAAGCAAAAAAATCCAGTAAGCAAAAACTATATTCTCTTGAAGTATAGATCAAATCAATACTGATTTGAGCGTCACGGGCTTCACGTACTACTAACCTCAAGTTAGTAACGATGTAGACACATTTTGAAGAGGTTTAACCTAATTAAAATCGAACTCGAATTAGTACGTACCTTGTGGACCTGATATAGGCGTCAATAGAAGCACCATCAGAAGTACTAACCATGGTGGCTGAGGTCATGTAGAGATGAGGATGGTCAAGAAACTGATCACTTTGAAGAATGGTTCCATCAGCACCAGCTGATTTGACCACAGAATCAGAGCCCCAAGTGATCATTCTGCACAACACAAGGTGCCCTTTCACCTTTGCTGGATCAAGTGAGCCCTCTGCGCAAATGCTCGCGCCGCCTCTGGCTTGTGGGTTGTTACTCGCCACATCCGCTCCGTCCACTAGAGGGAACATTTTTTGCCTCGGGTTGAATGTGTTTATTCCCATCCCCTGCATGCACAATTCATACCATCAAACAAAAATCCTTTCAAATGCAAGAAATAAGGATTTTTCTGACGCTTAAAACCATAAAAAAGAAATTTAAAAATCGTTGGGATTTTGCATCGGAAAAAAGTAAGGGTCATCCCGACTGGTTTTGGAAATCAGGAGAATCCCATTGTCCCAACGGTTTATGCCCTAGCTGATCGGGATTCAAACCGTCAGACCTAATCAAATCTTCGTGATGGTTTGTATACCGTCAAACAAAAGAGGTTTGAACCTCCGACCTCTTGAAATAATAGATGTATTAACCAATAAACGATGTTGATGTTAGACCGGTTGTGTTATTTGTTAGTTTAGTCAATCTGTCACGGTAACATTTAAATAATAGCACGTGGATATCTGCAAAATATTAAAATAAAAACTAAAACTTCTTCATGTGTAAAATATTAAAATAAAAATTCAAAGTTCTTAATGTGTAATTGACTCTTTTAAAATTTATCTAATATTCTTTTTCTATTATTAATTTTTTAAAAAATATTAATTAAATATTGTTGGAGAGTGTTTTAATAAGTAAGGTTTAAAAAATATACTTGTGTGCCCAACATGATTTCAGCTTGTATTCGCACCTATCTCCAACTATGAGATGGTGAGTTTGAGTCTTCCATTGTACTAAAAAATTTTTACTAATGAGTAAATAACTTTCCTATAATTTGTTTCCAATATTTTTATATTTAAGGTTAAACTATATTTTAATTTCAAATTGTGCTCTCAAATGTTATGTTATAATTATTAACTTTTTTCATAAAAATCTACCCTTTGGTCTTCTTAACCCAACATTTTAACGTATAAGTAGCGTAAAAATGGATTCTAACTCCCAAATTAATTTCACAATAGATATGCAAACTTACAGAGATGCTCTTCCCATTGCCCAACTCCACTCTGCTGGTAAATGTTCTATCGGTCCAACTGGCTCCTACCGTTAAGATCCACGGCGCGTGGTTGATAACGCTGCCCGTGGCCGGGCCGTTGTTGCCCGCAGCAGCCACGGTGACAATGCCGTTCTTCATGGCATGAAACGCGCCAATGGAGACAGCGTCCTCAGCGTAATTGCCAAAGCCACCTTCACCAACCGATACCGAGATGATATGGACACCATCACGTATGGCTGCATCGAAGGCAGCCAGCATATCCATATCAGCGCACCCCCTGCTGGCCCAGCAGACTTTGTATATGGCGATTCTGGCCGAGGGCACGGCACCACGTGCTGTTCCTTCGGCTAGCCCGAACAGGTTGGCGCCAGGAACTGCATTGCCTGCCGCTGTTGAGGCCGTGTGCGTACCGTGGCCGTTAACGTCTACCGGTGATAAGATGTCGATGGGATCGTGGATCTTGTCTAGCTTGAAATATCTTGCTCCGATCAGCTTGCTTAAAAAATGAAAGATTGATGGCCGAAAAGGAAAAAAAACCGTGAGTTTTGATGATTGTTCTCTGTTTAATTACTTAAACCTTTAAAAATTTCACTTACATATCCTTGAGTTTAATAGTAATCTTATGTAGTCCTTACTTTTTTTTTTCCTTTTTAATTTCCTATGTGACACTATTAATTAATCAAAATGATAATATGATATATTTATTTGACAAACGGCAACTAGGTGGACAAAGTAAAGTAGCCAGTGCAAGTATCAACTAATTTGTTCTAACTACTCACTTTCTTTTGTTATTTTTTTATTTTGTTAAATCAGCAAACATTTATCAAATAGTTATGTTCTATAAATATCTAGGTCTTGTTTCATAATCATTGTGTTTTTTTAAATTTAACTTATAAACACTACTTTTCTTTGTTTGCTTTGTTATACACTTTTAAAAAATGTTTTTTTTTTAAATTTGGTTAAGCATTCAACCTTGTTTATAAAAAATGATTAAAAAAAGTTATGTCAAAAAAAGAGAGAGAAAATAGACCAATAATAACTCTTAAAGTTAGAAAAATAAAAACAAAATAGTTACATAAAACAAAGACTTAGTTAATGGTGCGGGCGATTGAGATGACATAAAATACACTAAATTTATAACTAAAAGAAGGAAATGACATGTTTGGAAGGAATTTTAATATGGTTAGAATCACATTCACCATGAAATCACTGCCTACTATTTTAAAATGACATCCTTTCGTAATAATTATCAAGTGATTTTGAAAAAATTAAAGATTACATTAAGTGATTTATGTGCTCAATCACTTGGGAGGTGATTCACAAGTGACTTATGATAAATAATAATAATAATAATAATAATAATAATAATAGAAAATTAATTTTTAAATTTCAAAATTGTCTTATTATTTCGTCTTATTTTCACTTAAAAATTTAAGATTTTTATTTTCTTTGTTTCTAAAAATTTTGTCATTCTCCAACTTTATTTATCTTTAATCTTCTTTATTCTCTCAAACTTTTTTCTCTAAATTTTTGTGATCACTCTTTAAATTTTTAGTTGACATTTCATTTTATTTCTCTATCTTCTTTCACTCTATAATAATCTAAGGTTTTTGTTGCTCTCTAACGTTTCTTTATCTAAAACTTTTGTCAAACTCTCTCTCTAAGCTTCAAATATTAATCCTTCAAAAATCACTTTTAAATTATATAAAAAATCACTTTAAAAAGTATAAAATAATAATATAAAAATCACTTTCACAAAACCAATTATAATTAAATCACTTTTGCAAAAATCACTCTGGTTCCGTACCAAGCAGTTATTAATAGAAGCAACCCTGAAAACGCAAGCCTAAGGTTGGGATTTAAGCTATTTTTTTTTGTGTTAAGAAATGAAAATGAGAAAAGGGAAGAAAATTTTACTTGTTGCAGCCAGAGAAATTTGCAAAGTGTTGACAAGTGCCTTTCCATTTTTTTGGTGGAGGACCAAATCCATTATCTTTGAAGCTCTCCGCCGTTGGAGTGATCCCTGTTAATAATTTGTCTAATTAAAATTTTACAATTTTTGTACTACTTTTAATAATGGCGTGGATAAACCCTAAAAACTGGAAAAAATAATTATTCTTTTGTCCTTCTACTTAGGTCAAGCCCTAAATAATAATAAATTATGAAATTATTCCTTTTGTAGAGGACGTCAAAGAATCCAACTTATGAACTAATCAACAAATTACACGATATTCAACCAATAAAACACTTGAAATTAGGTCACAAAATACATACATAAACACAACCACATAAATATCTTAATCGAGCCACACTATAAAGTAATAAAAAGACATTTCATATAGCTAGAAAAATAGTCGGTTTAACCCTAAAAGTATCAATAACTATTAACGAGTGTCAGCATCAATCTTCAAAACTAGAGATTTAATTAGCGGATATTATTTTCACAACTTATTCAAGTTTAGAGTTTAATTCGAGAATAAATGAATTAAAAGATATATAAATTTGAAAGTTTTATCTAAAAAAAAGAACAGAAATTACCAGTATCAAATACACCCACAATAATATTACTCTCGTGTTGGGGATGTCTTGTTGCATTGGAAGGCAACCCAATGAAGTCCCATGATCTTGTTGTCTGTAGCTTTCTATATGTGTTTGGGATCACTGAATGCACTTCTCCCATCTCTAAATCACAGACATGGTTTATAAAAGCATAAATAGAAAAAAAAGGGGTTAAAATGTAAATAAAGATGAATACAGACCCCAAAGAGAAAATTTAAAAAATGTGAAGCGAGGTAAAAAGCAAATCCAGCAAAAACAAAGAATGATGCTTAAGGATATATGAAAGACGTACTTGCTAGTTTTTGGGCTTCCTCTCCGGTAAGCGAGGCAGCAAAGGCATTGAGGCTTTTTGTGTAGCTGTGGACCATTGATTCCTTTGCATCGACATGGCTGCAAACATATAAACACGTTCTTTTAGAGTAGTCGCGTTCGTTCTGATATGACTGTCACTCTCATAACTCGATTTTTGGAATCAATCACGTCTTGAGATTTATTTGTTATCAACCCTTTTGTTTGGGCTGCTTTGTCCTGGATAAACTTTGTGGATTATTCCAATAAAAATATATATTCTACATATTGGTTTATAAATCAACCTCAGTCATGAAGACTTAATTCAATAAAAATGTCAAATCTCAATATTAATTGCAATATAGTAAGCGATAAATCAAAGAATAGAGATTAAATTTTAGCCCTCCAATCCCAAGTAAAAAGTATTCATCATTTGGATTAGTTTCAGTATCCGAGTATCTCCACAATCGTATGATATTATCCGCTTTGGGCATAGCCTTCACAGCTTTGCTTTCGGTTTCACCCAAAAAACCTCATACCAATAGAGATAATTGTTGTTTGTTATATACCCATGATCATTCCGCCAATGTGGGATTTGGTTTACAATTACCTTACAAATCCAACAGTTCTAGCACAACAAATTTAAACACACAACCCACCTTTCTTTCACTGTTTTGAGAACATTGAGATGTGTTTCTGCTGCATCGACTTCATTGTTCAAAGCAATTTCATTATTTTTAAGGAAAATAATGAAATGTTTCTGCAAAAAATAGAATAAAAAAAAATAAAGAAAATTAGAGAAGTAAAGCTTATAAAAGACTAAAATGGAGCATAAATTTGTCAACTCATAACCTTTTCCTGGTCGTTTTCAACGGCAAAAACATATCCTATGATGGAGAGAAGAACAAAAACAACCACACAAAAAGTCTTGTCTTTCGACATGATTACCAATGAATCGAGGGATCTCCGACTCTCTGTATTTATAATGTGATTTGTTCAAACGTAAAAGGATGAGAATGTTTCCATGGCTATCTATTTATAGAATATATGAAATCTAAGAAAAAGGATTAATTTTTTAAAAGACACACAGAAGAAATGGTCTAACGAGAGATTGGCTTTTGTTTTTTTATTTTTTTCCTTTTCTTATTTCAAAATTGGGAAATCTTTTGTCAATTACCCATTTTTGTCAATGTCAATTAATTGTAGTTCTTACTTGGAGTGTTGTAGTTTTTAGCTGTATTATGATATCTTAATTATAGTTTCTACTCGGACTAATTAATAATTAGGTTTTGTTAATGCGGTTTTGTCAATTATCATTTTTGTCTATAAATGTATATAGGTTAAAAAACACTTTTGGTCCTTGTACTTTCGCCAAAGTAACAATTTAGTCCCTGAACTTTAATTTGTAATAATTTAGTCCCTATACTTTCAAATTGGTAACAATTTAGTTCTTGAACTTTAATATGTAATAATTTAGTCTTGTAATTTAAAATTGGTAACAATTTAGTCCTTATTGTGACAGTTTTTTGTTAAGTTTCTTACCTATATAGATTGATAAACTAAAGAGTTTACTTAATTTTATAAATTAGAAAGATTAAATTGTTAAGTTTCTTACAATTTAGTTCTCGGACCAAATATGATTATAAATTAGAATGATTAAATTGTTATAAGATAGAATTTAACACTTAATTTTAATTGTGGTTTCATATTTCAATAACTTTTTTGTTGAGTTTATAACATAGCATGGTCTAAATCCAATAAACTAAACATCCAATGTTATTATCATGTAACCGGGACAATATATATACTAGGTATATATTTGATATACCCTCGATATACCAGTGGATAATATCCCGGGAATAACTTAAAAGATCTATAGTATATGGATAAGACTAGATACCTTATCCTGATAATACCATGGATACGACCCGCTTTGTAAATGTTACAGACGACCCGATCCAGGTCGTTCGTGTGGAGACATGCGAGTGGGGGTATCCTATACAATGAATTTGTATAAGACCGGACCGCGAAATAGCCAATTTTTAGATGTAACGTCATTGATTAACAGATTGCTATTTCATAGGATGACCAGACAACTCATTCTCAATCCTGAGTGAGTTATGGACTCATACCCGTGAGGGCTCGTCCTTTGATCTGTATGGGTGAGAATGGTCTGAGTCGTCGACTCTACATTTCTACCATTTTGGGGAAGAGACTGAGTGGGGAGTTGGGAACATAACTTCACGAGATGGAATTCACTCCTCCTCGACTTTCGGGAGTAGATAAGTGTTCTCTTAAATGTTGACTCCGACCCCACCCTCTCACTGACTTGAGAGCAATTTTCGATTATTGGTCGGACCATAACCGGGTTTTTCATTAGAGAAGTAGTGGTATTTAAGGAGTAAGATGTAACTCAGAGGTAAAACGGTAATTTGATCCAGCTTGAGTTACGAGCACTCGTTAATGATTGACTTGCCGTTAATGGTTGTATATCTGTGGACATGAAAATATTATGCAGTGAGAAGAGTGTAACTACGGGTCTATAGTGGAGTGACTCGTAGTTAACGAATGTTGATTAACTCGGTCAATGAGTTTGACCGATTAATCTCGTATCGTTGGAGCTTCTCGTCTGTAAGTCCATTAGGTCCCCTTGCTAGCTCACAACGAGTAAAACAAGAATCAAGTTTCTTGGAAAAATTAGAGATGTTCGCTCAAGGGAATATATATATATATTGATACATTACAATATATGGTTAATTCTAAATTGAAACTATATATTATGAGAGAAATTATTTGAATGAGATTCAAATAAAAATCAATATGAATATGATTCATATTAAAACTATAAGTTAAAAATAATGTGTATAAAATGTACATTACAATTATAGGTTATATGAGAGAATTGCTTTAGAATATGATTCTATTTTGGAGAATATTTAAAGAAAGTCTTCAAATGTAAGTTTCCTTTTTCCCCTGTATTTTTCTTTAGTATTGTGATTTTGTTCCTCAAAATTTAAGAACAAAGATCTCCATTTCGACTGCGGGATTTACGTCGCATCATGGTTGAGTTCCTTAGCTCACCTATTGCCAAGATCCTAGGCTCACCTACGGTTGAGCTCCTAAGCTCACCTTTGGCCGAGCTTGAGCTACTAAGCTCATCTATAGCTCACCTATGGCCTGACATCTAACCGCCTTGTCGTAACGGCCATAACGGACGTGTAGCTAGCCAAGAACATACTGAGCTTCTCCCAAATCCTTCATTTGGAACTCAGTAGTTAACCACTTCTTTATGCCAGTAAGGTATCCTATATCATTCTTAATGAGTAGGATATCATCCACATACAATACAAAGAAGGCTACAGTATTGTTGACGATCTTTTTGTATACACAAAGCTCATCCGCGTTTTGGTCAAAACATAAGATTTGATCACAGTATCAAACCTTATGTTCCAAGATCGAGATGCTTCTTTCAATCCATCCATAGATCGTTTAAGCTTGCAAACCTTTTGGTCTTGACCTTGTGCCATTATCCATTCGGGTTGAGTCATATAAATACTTTCTTCAAGATTGTCATTCAAAAAGGCAGTCTTGACGTCCATTTGCCAAATCTCATAGTCATAATATGTGGCACTAGACAGTATTCTTATGGACTTGACCATAGCTACATCTGACGTGATGTGCTGGCTTTATCAACAACTCTTGTTGAAGTGCCAACTTGATCAACAACCCTTGTTGACGTGTTTGTAGCCTCTTCAGAAATCTCGTTTATCACTACCTTACCTCATGGTTTATGATCTCGAACGTGATCTTCTTCGAAGAAAGTGGCATTTGTCGATACAAACACTCTGTTTTCTTGAGAATCGAAGAAGAGACGACCTCTCGTCTCTTTAGGATAACCTATGAATAGGCATACTTTTGAATGAGGCTCCAGTTTTTTTGAGTTAATCAGGGGCACGTGTGCCGAACATCCCTAAGTTTGCCTAGGCCGACCTGAAGTGGTGGCCTCGTCTATGTTCGGCTCAGCTATATTAGTGGCAGCCTTATCTAGGTCTAGTTTGTTACTATAATGGTTAAGATCTATACTAGAGCCCGACACAATGTCCCCACGTCTCGTGCATGCTCGGATGATAGCCCCCCTTACTCAAATGACGAAGGCATTCTACAGAATTAAAAGTACGAAAAACACTAGATGACTAACCTAACGTAGGTTTTGAGCCGAGGTGGTCCTGCAAGCAGAGAGAATCTTGGGAGAATTTCAGAGTTAAAATAGAGGAAATAAATGAAATGAACCTGCCTGTTTAAAGAAAACGACCACTTCATCTCAGCCGTTCGAACAATTCAAATCTAACGACCAAGATTTAATCCCCGCCAAAAAGGTCAACTAAGGATGACGTCATCACACGTCAGCCCTACTTCAAACTCGTCACAACTACCACGACGACGAGTTAGATCAGTATTTTACTTCTACCACGGCACCGAGTGGGGGCCAATGTTGGAGGTAGATTTCAGCATACACGTGGCTGAAGACGAGTGGATATGGAACGTGACACGTGGTTCCTAGATCCCGCAGAGGATTAACCCAAGTATGCATATCCTGGCTCGACCCTTTGATCGAGCCGAATCCGATAGGTGACCGAGCCGAACAAGCTTATTCATAATCGCGTTCTCATATCATTGGTTGAACCGATTAGCTTACCTCACCTTGGTCTCATCTCCAACAAACTCCACTACAACACGCCGCGTTTCATGGTAATCTTAAAGAGCCGTTAAGGCCTTGTCGGAAACGCTGTAGGGTTCTTCGCCTATAAATAGAATCATTTCGTTCATTTTTAGGTACGCGAATATTTTGATTCTCTCTCGACTTACTTCGGACTTTCATTGGCTTTGGCATCGAGTGTTCACTCTGTTTTGCAGGTCTTCTACATGGTATTTGGAGCTCACTTTTTAACTCATCCTAGCCGAACCGACGTTCGCGTAGTTGATAAATTTCTTGATTCAACAACGATGTATCATACAATGTCCATTGTTGGGCTCACACCGTGAGATCCACAAAATGTCTCATGACGACTTTGTTATCGTTCCCCTAAGGAAGGTTTTCATGTGAGTCAATACCAAGGTGGACCTCTCTTTGAGATATGAGCCTGAGATGGATCTCAGTGATGGATCGACCCTAAGGCGACTTTATGTTGGGTTAAGTCTCATGGACCTAAAACATGGGTCACATGAAAAAATAATTTGCTAAAGTAGTTGGCAACATCTTGACCAAAACACAGTTACTAACACTATATAAATCTTAGTTCAACGAGAAAGAGTGACTAATACGGGCGAATTTAGCATGATCCTAGGGGCTCGAGCCTCCCCTGAAATATATATAAATTGTCAACATTTTATTCAAAATCTTGTGTTGGATTAGTGGCAAAATACATGCCAGCCCCCCTCCAACCTCGATTTGAGCCTATTCAAGTTCTATTTTTATTTTTTATTTTTTAATCTTTTAAGCCCCTCGAAGCCTGGGTTCAAGGCCACTCAACTTACATTCTATTTTTCATATAATCTCTCAATTTTGAAAATAAAGAAAAGAAAAACAATAGTTCTCCATTTAAAAAGATGAAAGAAAAAATCAATCCATGATTCTCTACCATTTTTAATAGAAAATTTTAAAATTTCTTTTATATAAATATATTAATTTTAAAGGAAAGATTATGTGAGGATATTTAAATCATAATTTTCTATAAAAGCAATTTTCTTATTTGACACTTTTAAATGGTGCAATCATCCTACTCTTTAAATTTAAAAGTTTTTTTCTTCACTTTATAACTATATATTTGCAGCCTCATTGGTCAAATTATTGTTAGCAAGTTCGAGGCTTATTTTTCTTTCCAATTCATATGTTGCATTATATAGAGGTAATATTTTATTATAGTTTTTTCCCTCTATATATC